TGGCTGCATTCAGCGGACTCAACAGTTGAGCGAGCGTTCGCTGCTATTGACGTATTCTTCTAGATCTAAAATTCTGATTGGATGATCTAAAAGAATATACCAATAACAGCGAGCGCTCACTCAACTGTTGAGTCCGCTGAATGCGCCCATTGAAGAGAGCCACCAGCGTTTTACGCTGCGTGAATTGCACCTTAAACCGGTTTTGACTCTGACTTCTGATTCTGATCCTGTATCGTTACATTGCATTTTACATTACTAATAAAGGTACATACATATTTTACAAGAGGTCAAAAATTTGCATTAATGCAAATATACGAACGCGAAAATTCGAAGTATGAGTCTTATGGAAAACCAGAACACGCAGGTTGTTCTAGATGATCAGTTGCAGCATTTTATCGAGGCTGAGACGAAAAAGCAACAGTTCCAGGTTAGTTTCTTGGTCAATCGCGCAAATAAATTTATAGATATTTTCTATTTATACTTTGCACTTTGTAATATAAAAAATGTGGGTATTGGTTATATAAATATTTATCACTAATATTTTTATCATGTGCAACTTTATTCTATTATTCAATCTCAAATCTATTCATATATTTGAGAATGTAAATGTAGTTATTTATTTTTTATCTTCATTTTTTCTTTAAACTATTATTATGCGCTCTATAGTATGAGGGGCGATGAATCAGTTATATAACATAATATTTTCAGGGATTGGTACATGAATTAACTGGTCTCTGCTGGGAGATTTGTATGGATAAACCATCATTGCGCCTGGAGCCTAAAGTTCATAAGTGTCTCGTGAATTGCGTGGAGAGATTCATTGATACTACCAATTATATCACAAACAGAATAGAACGAGTTGCCTCAAATATGCAGTCTGAGTCAGATAACATGGAGTGAGGATATTTCAAGGATTATGTGTCAAAGTTTGTCATGCATATATTTTAAAAACTCTGTAATATACTTGTATGTGTATTAGATCTACATAAACAATTAGACATGTTTTCAAGCATTCGGGGATTTTTAAATCGCCACAAGCGTAAGTTCATATTTGGAAGTGTTATTATTAGTAGCGTCATTTTTATGACACGTTATACACAGCGTAAGTTACGAGAGTGGCAAGAAAATGAAATAAGGATGCTGATGGAAAGGACGAAGAAACGACAATACTATGAGAGCACGGAGAGGTCGTGTAATAAAATGATATCGCATCTTGTGGTAACTTTGAGAAACTCTGTGATCAAAGAAAATGATACGGAAGTCATTATAAATCAACTTAGAGATGGCTCTGCTGATAAAATTACATCTTGGGGTCAATTGAAGGTATTAGCAATCGCGCGACCGGCCGTAATAATTTATTCTTATACGATGCTAGTTACATTTCTTAGAATTCAGCTCAATTTGATTAGCGGACATATGTACAAAGACGCGCAGAATACGAACAATGTGGACAATGAGATAATTGGCAGTGAAGTACAAAAGAGATACATGGCTCTTTCCAAATATTTTATAGATGAAGGCATCAAAGATTTAAGCAATTTCATACAAAATAAAGTTAATGAAGTCACAGCTTCGTTGTCTCTAACGGAGCAATTAACATTAAGAGATTTAGAACAAATTTATTGGGCAATTACATCTTCTATATCTGCCGACAGCTCGAAAGACCCTGTAAAAAATTTCACTTATTACACATTGCAACATGACATTGAAAACAGCGATACATCTGTCTATTCAAAGCTAAGGGATCAGATGCTAGATGTATCAGAGAGCGAAGAAGTACAAGATTTAATGCAGAAAAATATCAGAACTGGATTTGTTTTATTAATGGATCATATATCCGCATACTTCAGTGAACCTTCCAAAACTAACAGTGCACAGAACCAAGCATTGTTTTTAGGAGAATCAAATGCTGGTAATTCAATTTTAATAAGAGAAACCACAAGTGATTTGAGTGGATTTGTAGATGTTAACAAAACCACTATGGCTTTAGCCAAAATTATTCCTATTGTGAATGGACAGGTTCGAAATAATCCAACTTCGAACGATGTAGCAGAGGATTGGCTTCAGCGTCTGATATTCAATAATGATCTTAAAACACTCGGGGCTAATCTTTACGAAGCAGTCTGCTAAAGTTAATTGCGTGTCAATATTTTGGAAATTAAATGGAATTATTATTGAGTGTACAATTAGTAGTATTGACAGAGCAGTTGGTAATTCTTTGCAGCAGATATACAATTTTACTTGAATTTCACATAGATTTCTTTGTATATTCAGATTCAAGGGATATCACAGAAAATATTTATTTTATATATTTTTAGATTAAAACACATGGTTGATGGTTTAATTAATTTTCATTAATGTTATACCTAGATATATAATTATCAGATTTTCAGCGGACACATGCTTATATTTTATGAGTAAATACTACAATGAAACAATTCACTGTAAAACAGAGACGATTATAAAAAAAATTGTTAAAAAACGGCATTGCTATTACTCATACAAGATATCTATAAGCAAACATTTGTTTTAAATTAAATTATAATTTAATAATGGTATAGCATTTTTAATACGTAATTGCTAATACTTTCATATAATAAAATTCATTGTTTTGATACTGTAATAAAGTTTTATTGTTCTCTAATTTTATGAATGAAATTTGTATGTTAAATACATTGCTTTTGCTATTTGATTAAAATTCGCTTAAGAAAAAGTACAATAATATATTATTAGTATGATTTGAAAAAATTGCAAAGCTGATTATTTCCATAATTTCTTGATTGACATGTTCTTTTCCGAATCCTTTTGCATCACCTTTGCTACAGCCATCTCAAAATCTTCTTGAGTTACGTGAACTCGACGTTCTCTAAGAGCATACATTCCAGCTTCTGTGCAAACACCCTATAATATAAATAATATATATATTATTTGCATTGTAGAATATAAAGTTATTGCATATCAAAAATTTGGTAAACTTCTTCGATTTTTTTTATTATAAAAATGAAATATGAGAATAATTCTCCAAAATTCTCTTAAAATTTAAAAAAAGAATAACACAAGATCTTATAATATCTTAATCTATTCCTTTTTTAAAGACTTAAACTTTTGGAGTAAAATAATTTGTTAAGAGCAGAAAATCAGATTTCATTTGATATTTATTCCATAATAATTGTATGATGAAACTGTAATGTAAAGATATATATATCATTATGTTTCATTACCTTGACTTCTGCTCCTGATGCACCGGGCATAAGTTCAGCTATCTTTCTAAGATTTATACCACGTGTCAAATTCATTTTCCTAGAATGAATCTTCAAAATGTCCAATCTAGCCTCTTCATTTGGAGGTGGAAATTCGATCTTACGATCGATACGCCCGGGTCGCAATAATGCTGGATCTAAGATATCAATTCTGTTTGTAGCCATAATGACCTTTATGTTCTTCGTTGCTTCAAAACCATCTAATTGATTAAGCAATTCTAACATGGTACGTTGTACCTGAAAGTATAATTTACAATATAATTAAAAAGATTAAAATTACAGTTATATTCATACCATATTCCATACATACTTCACTATCGCCACCGGATCCAGATTCAATCCGGGAACTTCCAATGGAATCAATTTCATCCATAAATATTATAGACGGTGCATGTTCTCTTGCCATGACGAAAAGCTCACGAACCATACGCGAACCCTCTCCAATAAACTTTTGAACTAACTCCGATCCAGATACACGAATGAAGGTGCACTCAGTATGATGCGCGACTGCTCTTGCAAGTAAGGTCTTGCCGGTGCCTGAAAGATTTTGCGTTGTCATTATTATCAAAGATTAGATAACTAAAGTAATTATAATAAAAGTTTCACATATATCCGTTACAATATGGCTTGTTCTTTTCAGTTAAATTTGAAAGAGGAAAGATGAACTGTGTAACAAATTCAACTAAAAAAAACTACAATATATTTGTTACCTGGTGGTCCATATAGCAATACACCTTTAGGCTGCGCGATTCCAAGAGCATCAAACAATTCTGGATGCTTGACCGGCAATTCTATGACCTCTTTTATCTCCTTTATCTGTTTATCCAAACCTCCAACCATTTCATACGTAGAATCCGGCACTTTCTCTACCATCATAAGAGAGACAAGTGGATCAACTTTATTCGGCAGTATTTTATGCAGAGTATAACTTTCATTGCGTAGAGCGACACGCGAGTTTGGAGTCACGTCATTGATGTCGATGTTCTTGTCTATGTCTACTACAAATTTGCCTTCTGGATGTACTTTGACTAAGACTTTCTTCTTATCCATGGGTTTAACTACTTCTCCTACATAGGAACCCTGTTCTTGTAGGAGTTGTAATTCTTCCCGTAGCATGCGTACTAAAAAAAAATTCAAGAAATTGTACAATTGAGAGAGAATATGGCCGGTATTCATAACAAAAAAAAATTCTTATATTTAAGACTCTTATGTACAGTCTATGTCATAAACCAATCAAAGAACCATATTAGGCTTTCATAGCTTTATACAGCAATGATATTTGTATCACTGAAGCAAAATAGTCACCTTTCGCGTTGAGTTCATTACGTTGCGCTTGCAATCTCCTTAAATTTTGACTTTTTTCAGCAACAATTAATTGCAATTCCTCAATCTTCGTAATGTAATATGGTTTAAAGCCTTCACCTTTAGCATTCTTCTCATCGATATCCATCTGAAAAATTTCAAGCGTTAAGTTACAGATAAATACAATATTTTCAGTCACTGGCGTAGTAATAAAAATATTAAACATTTTCTTTACCTTATTTGTGAGCGTCATGATTGACAGTAGAGGAACAAATGTTTCGCAGATAGATGTTGAATATACCTTTATTTAGTAAAAGAGACAATATCGGCACAACTTAACCTCATTTGCTCCAAAAGTCACTTATCACTTGTCACCTTCTTAGCCGACATTAAGCTCGATTCGTATGATCAGCAATTTGCACACTTAATGGGTGCATTCAGTACTACAGCCGCTCACTGAGCGCTCAGTGAGCGCTTGCATCTTATTGGTATATTCCGTTAGAACTAAAAATATAGACCAAACAGATACAAGAGCTCACTGAGCGCTCAGTGAGCGGTCGTAGTACTGAATGCACCTCATTTGTGAGCTCAATCGCTCGAACACAAACAAAAGGAATAAGGCTCTGCGCATATTAGAGAAAATATTAGCAATTAAGAATAAACATTAAGCTTCCGACTTATTAAAATCTAGTTATATTGGAATACATGGTTTTTGATGGGTTGAAGTCTTTTTCTATTCCTAATATTTCTTTCAATGGCTACGTTTACACCATGCGCTTAGTCCGCGATCTATACGATAGGTGTTTTTGTTTAATATACAGGATAAACAAGGGCTGCGGTCCACTTGACGCTACAAACGCTTCGAAGCATTTGAGCGACCAATCAGAACAAAGAATTTTACGAATTGACTAATCAGAGAATGCATCTATTGTATAGGCCGAGGCCTAAATGCACTGTGTAAACGTAGCCAATGGGTGGATTCAGTACTACGATCGCTCACTGAGGGTGCTGTCCCATGAGCACGGAAAACGGAATCGGAACACGGAATCAGAAAGATGAAGTGGTAGAGGCTATCAATCAGCATCGTTCCGATTTTAAGTAGCCTGGCTTCCCATGGGGCATATTTTTCGGAAACGGAAATTTTTCGTACTGTCAATCACCAGTGATTACTAGCGATTAAGAATAATATTGAAAAAATTCAACTAAAAGGAGCATTGAAAAGGTGGAAAATGTCATCTGTAAGTATTGTAATTACATGTATTTTAAATTATTTTATATTAGATTATAATGATGGTTTTGCATACATCTCTAACCTTGTTTTGTTTTATATACACTACGCACATAAATTAAAGCATCACCTCTCACACCTTCGAAAAATGGGTAAACTTCAAAGAAATGTGACTTCTACAAAAATGGTCGAAATGAGATTTTAAAAAAAGCATTTTGTAGCTTGAAATCTCTACTTTCCAAATCTGTATAATGAAATAACGATTCGGCTGATTTTTACGGAACTACATGATTATAAAGGAAGATCCGTAAAATTTCAAAATTTTTTGTAAACTTTGCACAGTTTCATGCCGTGAATGAGAAGTCGGGCACAAATACAATTCACAGCTTTCGAAAGCGTGATCCTTTATCTTTAATTTACTTTTTTTTTACCTCTGTACGATTTTTTTTTACCGAGTTATTCAACATTGAAGTAAAAATGATCCCTTTGACTTTGACTGCTCATAAAAGACGAACGGAGTAGCGTACAACATTTTTTAAACAAGCAAAAAAAAGTTCAAAGTTTTCTCTTTAAGA